TCTTATTATGTGAGTCAAGAGAGTAAAAAGAGTAATTACTGCCTCTATGATTCAGYTTCTTGATCTGTAAAATGACAGTAATAATACGTCGTGGGGAGACATATGTAAAGAACTTGAAAAGGGTTCTCTGTGTTTGTTATTGTTATGAATTTTTCACCACCATTATCATCTTCAGTAGTGAATGATCCTCCCTTTCTTCCCCTTTTCTTCTATTCCTTTTCCATTTTCTCCTTTCTTCCCCATTATTCTTCTCACCTTTTAATTAAAAAAWWTTTTTTTACCATAGTTTGGATCTAATGTGCCCCCCGCCAAACCCCTGTGTTAAAGTCTTGTTTCCCAGCCCGTAGTCCTCCTGGGAAGTGGTAGTCAAGTTTACTTGGCTGTGCCTGGGGATAAACATGATGACATAGAGCTGCAATAAGAAAACAAATATGATGCCTAAAATATGAAAGCTTCAAATTAGGAATCAACACAGGGAAATAAGCCAAAGATTCACTTGCAAAGATGACTTAAAGACAGGATATTGGGGTTGGAAAGAAGAGGAAGTTGAGCTTTCACAGAACATCTGATCTATATGCTACACTTCTTTGAACTTACATATTTGTGTTTGAGCTTGTTAATGTTATCATTTTCAACTTGGTTGAATTTCTATAGTCATTCAACATATGATTTGATTTTTAAAATTTGTTTTTGTTTACTGTTACCCTAATATTGACAATCTGAGTTTGGTTAGGTATAAGATAAAATAACTATATATTTGTTAATGTGAGTGGGAATTATTTTGTGTGATACCAAAGTGATACTTGCAAAGATCAAAGATTTTATGAAAAATATGAATATATATTTTATGAAAAATATGAATGTATGGTCAGAGTCCTCAACCTGTCCTTTGAAGGTGGCCTATATGCAATGATATCCCTTTGGTTGTGAACACCCAAATACCTTTCAAATACCTTTGCCCACCAAAAGTAGCAGTGTTCCATGGAGAAATGATTGATTCTGTGTCTGACAGAAAGACTATGAAGGACAAATCCAGAGTATTTCAACTTCATAACAGTTTATTTTGAAAACCAGATATAATCATAATGAACCATTTTTCAATGCTTTGTGATTTTTGGTCTTGTGTGAAAAGACAAAGCCACAGTTTTCTTTTGGATCTTTGTAGTTTCTAGCTTCATATTTATGTCCATGATCTATTTCAATTTGCATACCGCATGAGTGAAGGGTTAAATTTAAAAATAATTTATTTTGGTATATGGAAACTCTCTCATAGTTGTTTTTCCATTTTTCTAGAATTATTTGTTGAACAGACTACCTCTTGCCAATTAGATTGTTAAAAATCAGTTGCCATATACGTATAGCTTGTCTCTTCTTATGCCAAAAGTAGTCTTGGTTATTTTAGCTTTATAAGCTACAGGTAATGTGAATCTTTCAACTTTGATCTTTGTTTTTAAAAGTTGTTCTCTCTATTCTAGGTATTTTGTATTTACATATGAATTTTTAAAACAGCTTGTCATCCTTCACAAAAATGCTTTTTTTGTGTGTGTGAATTTAGTATACAGAACAATTTGACAGGAATTGACATCTTAACAATACTGAACCTTTTAGTATTTAAACAGTTTGTCTCTCCATTTCTTTGGATATTTTGCAAAACCTGCTTATTAGGTCTAGTAAGACTTTTTGTAGAGTTCTTGGGATCTATGAAGAAGAATATGGTGTCTATAATTAAGGACACTTTTATCTCTTCCTTTCTAGATTGCAGGATCTGCCAACTATCTATCTTTTTGCTTTCCTTATTGTACTGGCAAAGACAACCATATAATGTTAATTAGAAATAGTGAAAGCAGAGCAGATACTCTTGCCTTTTCTCCAATTGGCAACAAGCATTTAGTATTATTAAGTATGATATTAATTATAGATTGTCTACATAAGCCTTTTAACAGTCTGGAGAAAGCTGCCTTTTGTCYCTAGTTTGAGTTTTTACTAAAAATACATGTTGAATTTTTGTCAAATATTTCCTGTTTCTATTGAAATAATTAAATGATTACTTTGTTTCAGGCTACTGATATCATGAGTTATACTCACTGATTTTGTATGTTGAACAAACCTTCATTCCTGATCTATTAGGTCATGATGTATCTACTTTCAAAATAGAGCTGGGTTTATCTGCAATATTTTTTTAAGATTAGTATCCATGTCTAAGAAAAAGTTTGGTCATTTTTTTCCGTATAATATTTCTGACTGTTTTAGCCTCAATATAATCCTCTTCTCTTTCCTGGAAGAGACATTGTAGAATTAGTATTTCTTTTACTTAAATATTTGGTTGTACTCAAGTCTTCCTCATGTCTTTTAAGTATCTTTAACTGAACATGTTCTCCTTCATTGCTTGTATTAGGCATTCATATTGTTCATTATWATGTACCTAAAATTTATTTATTTTGATGTGTATTATCATGGGATTACTAATTACATTATTTTTTGAATCAACATTTCTGTTTTGTGGGTCCCTCCCCGCCACCCCATTTCTTTATCTTGTTATCTTTTCTTATCATGTTATTTTTASTTTCTTGGAGTTTTATTCACAATTTTGTATTCTCATCTATTGAGAAAGATGCTTTGATATTTTCAGTCTTTCTTCTTACCCAATCTCTACTGTTGCTATATATTTTCCTTTACTAAAGATTTAAGTGGAATTGGTTTTATAAATGATATGTGATAAATTTAAGATTTTTTCCTTTGTTTTACATAGATAATTGAGTCAGAAATAGTATGGAAAAGACTATTTTTCTCCTACTRCTCTAGGGTGCCATCTTTATCATAATTCAAATGTCTATGGCTAAGAGTTTTTCTAGATTCTCTTTTATCCTTGGTGTATTTGAGTACTCATACATAATACCACATTTTCTTAAATGCTATCATTTTATAGTAAGTCTTAGTTTGATAAWTTCCCCAATTTGTCCTTCAAAAGTGTCTTGAATATTCTTGCCATAGACTGTTTCTATACATAATTTTAGAATCAAATTTTAAGATAAAGAAAGCCTATTGGGATTTGGTATGGAATGARTTAAATATTGTAGGAAATTAAATTGATCTAACTTCACTGAGGACTGATAAGGGACATGACAAAGCATATGTGTTAGGTAACTGTCAGGAGCAACAACAACATGTGTTGATAAAGAAAGATGAAAAGCATTACATGTTATACAAAACAGAATATCAGAGTAAACTCAATGTAACTACTGGCAAAAATGAATATGTGCTATTTGCTAACTAATAGCAGATTTATAAAAATTACAGCTTTAATTACATATAACCACAGTTTATTGGAATTTGGTATGGAATACATCAAATATTGAGATAAACTAAACCAATCTAACTTAATTGAGAAATGTTGAGGGATATGATTAATGACATCCACTAGAACTTTGCAGCCAGGTGCTGGCTACTTGATAGCTATATGATATTTTTATTATTCAGTAATAAAATTAACTAATTCTATATAAGTGGGCTGTTCCTTTGGATTTTCTTTCTCCACCTTTAACAATAAATACTTAGGGGGAAAACTAACACCCTTAACATTGAGTTTCTATACCCATCATTTAAGCCTGACCTTTATGGAGGTTCTCACCCAGATGAGTCCAACTTTTTCATCAGACATTTCAGCCATGAGGATCAGCTGTGCTGGAAATGTGAAGAAGGTAAGCAGAATTGTACACAGATACTGGCCTAACCCAAAGACCATTTCATCTTTGCCAAAACTGCTCTCCTGCAGGTGACTTTCAGCAGGCTTGCTTGTCTAAAGCTGCTCAAGAAGGCGTAAAAGTTAGGTAGGAGACATTTGAGAGAGATCAAGTTCTCCAGGCTAGGTAGGCATGTCTCTTCTCTTACCCCAAGATTTTTTTTCCTGTAAACTGTCCTCAGTTCCCAGATAAGACAATTGAGACTGCAGGGTAAGGGTGAAAAAGGAGCTAAAGAGACACAGGAATAGTTTTTATRTTCAATCACCTCCTCATATATGTTAATGTAGAAAATAAGTGTATTTTAAAATACCAATATATCATAGCAAGAACATAGCCAACAGGGTCAGAGACAGTAAAATGAACCAGTTGCAGAGGTGGGCAATCAAAAGAGGAGTGTTGAAAGTGTAGAGCAAGTTCAAATGTGAAGATGCACATTTGTCTTAGGATTCTGTTGTGTGGGAATAGAAAAAACAAAAATTAACTGAAAGTGTATTCTACATTGTACTTTTATTTACTGATAAGAAAAACATCCAGACAAGTGAAGTAAGCTTGTCTGAATTCACATAAGCTGTGAGCAGCTGAKCCAGGACTAAAACCCAAGACTGCATGGCTTCAGTACAAAAGTCTTCCACCAAACTAACTTCCCAGTTAGGGAGAGTAAAGGGGAGAACTTGTCAAATSCAAGACTTGGGGTCCTTTCAGAGATGCAGTTCAAATTATATGCTTGAGATAGAAAATGCATAAATGTCAACATTACTGAATCAACTCAACCTACCTCTGTAATTTTATATAGGAGTTTTACATGCAGTTTTAGGGCTTAAACACGTTAATATAATACAGGTTCTAGGAATTGATGTTTTGTGTTATTCTTTTTTACTCAAATGTTCTTCCATGTCCTTTATAAAGAATTACTGTGTGGTCATAATTATGCCAACCAGATATTAGTGATTTCAATTTCTGATTACATTATGCGGTATAATAAGGAATATGTAAATCAATGCTATTCTGTATACATACTTTATTCTACTGATCAATGAGTTCATAACTTCAAAAAATTTTCACTCCATATTAAAAATGCCTTCCCATACATAATTATATTTGTTGAAAAAGGTATTACCATACTAGAAACATTTATTCCCTAGGAAAATTTTATCTATAAAGATGTTATAAAGATGTTGTTCCATACTCATCAAGTTAATCAGGTTCCTGGTTATTATTAAGGCTAAAGCTAATATTGAAGGCTTTTCTGTGGTAAGTTCATTAAGATTTTATGGCTGTATGAATTCTCTGATGTACAGTGAGTTGTGACTTCTGAATGAAGGCTTTCCCACATATCACACATTGATAGGGTCTTTCCCCAGTATGGATTCTCTGATGTAAAACAAGGTCTGACTTCTGGGAAAAGGCCTTTCCACATTCAGCACACATATAAGGTTTCTCCCCTGTATGAATTCTCTGATGTCCTGGGAGGTGAGACTTCTGAGAGAAGGCTTTCCCACATTCAGTGCACACATAGGGTTTTTCTCCAGTGTGAATTCTCTGATGTCCAATGAGATGTGATTTCTGACAGAAGGCTTTACCACATTCACTACACGTATAGGGTTTCTCTCCAGTATGTGTTCTCTGGTGTATGATGAGCTGTGACTTCCGGGAGAAAGTCTTCCCACATTCAGTACATTCATAGGGCTTCTCCCCAGTATGAATTAACTGATGTGTAATGAGTTCTGTCTTTCTGCTGAAGGCTTCTTCACATTGAGCACACTTGTAGGGTTTCTCGCCAGTGTGAATTCTTTTATGTATAATGAGGTGGGACTTCTCACAGAAGGCTTTTCCACATTCAGTACACTCATATGGCTTCTCTCCAGTATGAGCTCTATGATGTATAATAAGTTGTGACTTTTGGGAAAATGCTTTCCCACATTCTCTACATTTATAAGGTTTCTCTCCAGTGTGAATTCTCTGATGTATAATAAGGGGTGATTTCTGGGAGAAGGCTTTCCCACATTCACTGCACTCATATGGTTTTTCCCCAGTATGAACTCTCTGATGTATAATGAGGGATGATTTTTGAGAGAAGGCTTTCCCACATTCAGAACATTCATAAGGTTTCTCCCCAGTGTGAGTTCTCTGGTGTACAATGAGATGAAACTTTTCACTGAAGGCCTTTCCACATGCACCACAATCATATGGTTTCTTTCCAGTATGAATTCTTTGATGTACAATAAGCTGTGACTTCTTAGCAAATGCTTTTCCACATGTAATACAGACACAGGTTTTCTCCTTAGTTTCAACATTCTGATATTGGATAAGGGATTGTTTATTGCTGAAAATGTTTTCACATTGATCATCATCACAGAGTATTATCCCATTGTGAATTCTCTCAAGATCAGAATTGGATGCACTGTGACTAGATAATTTTCCAAAGCCCAAACTCTCATTAAGGTTTTTTCTTGAATTACCCTTATAAAAATTTGGTAGGCCAATATTTGGTTTTAAGTTCTTTTCAAATGTATTATATTTGTGAAGTTTTTGTTCTGATGTATCTTGTTCTATGTACTCATCAAATACTCTTCCAAATGCATTATATTTATGACCCGATGCCTCAGTTGCTATATTGCTACTGACAAATGTGACTTGCCTGAAAAGTTTGTCTTGATTTCCCTGACAACTCTGCAGCTGGCTATCTCGTTGGCAGACTTTTAATATGGAGTAAAATGATCCATCTTTTGTGACTCCTCTCAGTATCTTATTATGGAAGGAAACAGTCTTCAAAATATATGATTGAGAGTTATGAAGGTTACTCTTCCTTTCTAAAAGAAGGAAAGATAAAATCAAAAAGTCATAAAGAACAATTAAAAGAGTCAAAGTAGCAGAACAAATGGATAATCCAACATAATGAATTTAGACTATGAGTTCATGGTCTGGCATCTCAGAAAATAGTCCAGCATGATTGAGTGAATAGATAAAGTATTGAAGAGAAAGTATTCATATAAAACCTAGACTTGAAGGAGACAGAAAAGAGACTTTGATCTTGAATTATTCTTCCAGGATATTCCTATTTCCCCTGYTTTCTGAATAGAAATTATTTTCACTTTTTGTATTCTTTTTCTTATCAACTATTTGTTATTTATAAATTAACCATTATTCTGCCACCACTTCAAAGAAACTAGGTCTCTTATGTATTTAAAATACTTTAACTCTCCTCAGTTTTCCTGACTAACAACTAAAACAAACAACAGAGAAACCCAAGTACTGCTATAGATTCAGTATCAGATTCATACCAAGAATAAACATGTGAATTTAACTACTTTCAATAAAATGCCTACTATATGCATCAAGTGAAACTAGCGAAGTTCTCCCAGAAAAGCCATATCTTATTAATTCCAAGGTTTTATGAACAGCTCTCTTCCACAGCTTCCCTTCATCCTCTTCCTTCAATCTCAGCCCTTATGTCATTCAGAGCAATCATAGCTGCATACTCAAAAAAATGCCTTTTGAAATTCTGCCACATCTCTTTAGATTCTAAATTTTTTCAGAGCCTTAAAATATAGTAGCTGTATTTGTTATTTAATTGTGTATTCATGTACCCAGAGGTCTTACCTCTTAAAGTACTTAAACTACTCTTACATACTTGTAAGGGCTTTGTTTTCTGTTGCCTGTATAGCTCTTTCACATCATAAAAGGCATAATTACATTATTTACACACAAATAACCATATACATGTTTATAAATATGGGGGGGGGGTTAAAGAAGAAATAGCTTTCCACAAAAGGCTCACATTACTTTTAGTTATTTCTTAAATGCTTACTAAATGCCTATAATTATTGGTTGAGTAAATATTAAATTCTCAGCATAGGAGCAAAGAATAGATTTCAATAAGAATAATATATAAGCCTCAGTCACCAAACAATTAAAATCAAAACAAACTGATATTGCACTTTCCTTGTCTCTCATGTGCATGATTTCCATCTGGATAGATCCAATTTGGTATTTCTCTCTTTATGATCCATGGATCTTCTCCTTGTTCCAACTTTGAGATGACATCTGGTTTGGAAACTGGATGTCCTATTAAATGGAAATCAGGAAGGAAATGGATTGACTGCACTGAAGGAAGAAGAGAAGGTACAATTTCAGGTGTTCTAAAATGAAGTTGTCTATTTAGCCCTCAACAAAGTGATGACCTCCATTTGCAAACATATGAAGGTCATGAAAATTCATATGTATCAGGAACCAACTAAACACAGTAACTGATAAAGAAAGGCACTTGATTATACAACTGGATTATACAGGGAAGCCATACTTACCCATTGAGGCCAGATGGCTGAAGTTCTCCAGCATCACATCCCTATACAGGGTCCTCTGAGCAGGATCCAATTGCTGCCACTCCTCCTGGGTGAAATCCACAGCCACATCTTTGAATGATACTAACCCCTGTAACAGTACATTCCTATTCAATGTGAAGTGATCATTTTCATCATTACTACTATAGTATACAAAACTATACCCACATCATAGTTTTTGAGAGAAACAATGTAAAGCTCTATTTTTAGCAAGAAAAATCAGATCAGGAAAATGAAGAGATAAACCATAAAATGCCTATCTAATATATATATGGTAATTTAATAAATGATAAAGATAGCATTCAAGTAACTGGGAGGAAAAAAGATTATTCCATGAATGCTACCGAAATGGCTGGTACAATCAATAGAATAATATTAAAGSAATATGTTATTGGTTGAAATGTTTCTCCTAAAAATAGATATGCTGAACTAACCCCTAATACTGCAGAACATGGCTTTACTTAGAAACAGAGTCCTTGTAGATATAACTAAGTATATGAAGTCATTAGGGTTGGATCCTAGTCCAATATATTTTATGTCCTTGTCAGAAATAGAAATTTGAGCAGACAAGGACAATGGGAAGATGATGCAAAGAGATGCAGAAAAAAAATGGCCATGAAAAAGTAAAGGAAAGAAACCTGGAATAGATTCTTCCTTCACAGTCACATAAGGAAATAACCCTGAAGACATCTTGATTTTGGACTCCAAGCCTCCAAAACTAAGGCAATAAATTTATGTTATTTAAGTTAACAAGTGTGTGGTGCTCTGATATGGCAGCCCAGGAAAACTAATACATTATATCTTATACCTTAGAAAAGACAATAAAATAAATTGTGATGGAAAAAAATTTAAACTCTAAGATGTCCTAGAGATCATAAAGTCAGAAAAAAGAAAAACTTTTTATTTACAAGTATAGGGCAGAGAAGTCCTTTTGAAATACCAACATAAAAAAATAGAAAATAAAAGAAAAACCACATTTACAGAATCATACAAGACCAGTGCACTAGACACTAATTAACTGAGTCTCATTTTTGTGGGAAAAAGATCTTAGCTTCCTCCAAACCTAACTGTTCTTTTATAGACATGCAACAGCTAGCAATATAATGAAATATACCAATTACAATAGTAACAAAAGATAAGATATCTCAAATAACAGGTACAACAAGAAATGTGCAGAAAACATTTATGAAGAAAACTACAACAAAGTTGCATGCCATCAAAATAAATGATTTAGGTAAGTAGAGAGCAATATAGTGTCTCTGGAGGGAAAACTGTAACTTATGTCACCATTATTTTCACAATAGTTGTCATCTAATAGTGAAAAATAATCTAATAGTGGAATGATTTGTTATTATTTTAAGCTACTTTTCAGGATATTTCCTAAATATTTATTTTCTAAATACTCCATTGTTATTAAGTGTTGCTTTCAGAATGAAAACAAATGAAGTATTGTTTCAAATATCAACACTTCCCTTCTTCAAAGCCTCGGTGGTTTCCCTCCTAGCACATGGAATTAGTCTCAGCCATCTCAGTTGTAAACTTTTTCTCCTCCCACATATGGTTCCCTATGCACACCGCCAAGCTGCCAAGCACTTTGCCCATGACAGCCCCATTTAGTTTCCTATTGTACATATGAGAAAACTGAGAACTGTAGTCATTAAGAAACTACTGGCCAAAGATTATATACAGAAAATATGATTGATTGATTAATTTTCAGATTTATAAGATTTACTCTGAGTCACCAGCTTGGTTCTTTACTATTCACTTCAGACTGCCTCCTTGATATGGAAAACATCATCTTTCAAGTTCTATCACTTCAGTCCCATGCATAGGCAACCTCTCCATGCAGCTCTTACCTCTTCAGTTTTCCTCAAATCCTCAGCTTTCCTAAAATTATTTTGTACCTGCTACTTTCACAAATGCTGCCTCCCATCCTCACCCCATTTCCTTCATAACTCAGAGGTCAATAATCCTTTAAGCCTCTTACCTGCCTCCTTACAAAGCTGTTGGCTCCTCCTCTCTGTGATAACAGCACACTGCTTGTTCCCTGCCTGTTACAGAGCTTTTCTGTGTTAACCCATCTCTTCATGCCACTTTTCTTAGAAGTGCTATCAGTAAAGAAGAATGCCTAAATTTTCTTGAGATATTCAACAGCTACCCAGTGCCTATGGCATAAATTGAGTGCTTGAGAAAAAATGTGCTGAAAATGAATGAAGATTATAAAATTTAAAATAACTAAAACTCATGGTCAGTTAAAAGTAGTTTTGGGGCTGGGACTGTAGCTCAGTGGTAGCGCACTTGCATCACATGCATGGCCCTGGGTTTTATCCTCAGCACCACATAAAAATAAATAAATAAAAATAAAGATATTGTGTCCATCTCCTACTTAAAAAAAAAATTTTAAAAAGTAGTTTTGTACAGCAGTCTGTCATACTCTTTTGATCTGAAAAGTAGTAACTTGAGAAAGATAGAATGTAGAATATAGAGGAAATACATTCTTATAGCAAAATGTATGTTATAATTCTAGCATTCTGATTGTGCTTTATTAGTGTTATTCAAGTGCTTAATATACTAAATAGATATGTATTTTGTTAATCATGAGAAAAATATGGTGTACAATTGGTGAAAATTTATACTTTTGTCATGTGTAAATAATTTTTACAGCTTGGGTGGCTGGGAGAATGGAAATGCCATTTAGAGAAGAAAAGCGGCAGAGAATTGGGGCAAGTGTTAGAGGGAGAAAGGAAGGGGAGAGGCAGAAGCAATGCCTTCACTTCTAGATGGTACAGAAGATGAAGCCCTCTTCCTGAAGGAACAAGCACTAATTCAGCTAATTAGCCAGGGTAGTTGGATTTATTGGGCTAATAAAAAAATCTATTCTTATTCTTTAAAGCAGTGCTAACTAAAAGGAATATAAAACTAAAGAGAAAAACTATTTTAGATTTTCTAGAAGTTATATCCAAAAAGTTATTTTTAATATTTTATATTTATCCCTGTATACTGCCTCAAATATCATTTCAATATATAATTAGCTTTAAAAACTATTAAGTGGGTTTTCTGGAATTTTATCTTCAAATTTCAGTACATATTTAACACTTAAAGCATTTTAATTCAGACTAGCCAATTTCAAGTGCTCAATACTGAAAGGTTAATAAAATAGGTACTTGTCACTCCGTTTTTCTGTATGCTTAACAAAACACTGTTGAAATCCTGAGAACTGTTTGCTAATCTTGTTCCCAAAATGTGCTGTCCCCAACTGCCAAACTGCAGAATGCACTCCCTTACTCGGTTGCAGGCAAACTGCCCACTCGCCCTGACCCGTCAATGAACTTCCCTTCCTGCCCTCTCCAAGAAAAGTATATAAGCTCTGCTTAAGCTCTTCTCAGGGCTCTATCTCTCTTTGCTCTAGTGAGCTCTGAGCCCCAGCATGCTGGTCCCCAAATAAACCCTTTGCTGTTGCATGAGGCAGTCTCTTGGTGGTCTCTTCCTCTGACATTTTGCCGGTCCCTTACAATACCACATGTAACCACTAATGGCTACCATATTGAACAATAAAACTCAGTGCTCCTGACATCTAGGAAGAAAAATGAACTCATCTTTTTGCAACAGAACTCAGTTGTTAAGTTCTACCGTAAAATACGCAAAAAGACTACTAATGTAAAARCTGATTTCAAGATTTGACAATCACAATGATGAGATAATAACAGCTAATGCACACAGTAGTGTGGGAAGCCATTCTAACACGTGATTGGGTGCCTCCCGTTAAGGGCCTGAGGCACTTTGGCTRAGTCGAAGTTTTCCCGACCCTTTCCTGATGAGAGAGCCCATCCGTGTGGGGGTGTGCCTGACCACTGACCCCAGGGACCCAATCACTGACCCTGACCTTGGAGTGCAGCCCCCCCTCAACCTTCATTGGATGGAATTCTCCCCTGAATCTCTTGTTCCCCAATAAAAGGCTGGTCCCTGGTGTGCTCTCTCTCTCTCCTGCTAGCCCTGAGTAATCCTTGCTGCCCTGCTGGGCGAGGGAACCAGAGAGGTGAGCCGTCTCGGACCTAGCAATAGAAATAAGGTAACTGAGTCTTGTGTTTTATTTCGATCTCTTCTAACTAACTTTATGCCTAGAACCTCATTAATGAAACCACTGCGCAGGCCGCATGGTAGACAGTAGAAACCACGTTCCAGTTATAGTTCCAGGCATGCTGCCTGCTYACTTAATTCTCACAACCCTATGAGGACTACCATCTCCATCGTTACAAATGAGGAAAAAGTTCCAGGCWACCAGGCCAGAAGAAATATTATGCATCTGATAAAACAACAAAGAAGAATGCTATGTACTGACATGGGCAGATAAACAAAATGTATGTGAAAATCTTATACTGGACAGAAAGTCGAAAACCAGGTTGTGAACAAAATGTTCACTATAACATCATTTTTTCAAAAGGAACATACAAGAAAATAGGAGGCATTAAGATTTGCAGGATTAGAAATAATAACACTGAATATTTCAGGGAAAGGAGGCACTAAGTTAAATAGACTCTGTTTTTAATTTTTATTTTCTTATATAGTTTAAAATTTTTATACCATGCAGAAGGCGAGTGTTGATAAAAAATTAACACATATTTTTAAAAATGGAAGAGCAGAGAAGAAACAATCAAACTGGAGAGTAATTCTACAAATTCTGAAACCACAACAAAGAACACAGAGCACAGGGAGTTCTGCCCTCCAAACCTTTGCCAGTTAAATATAATTTAAGAACTATTTTTTTTTTTTTGAGAGAGACTTAAGTATTTTGGAAGAACATTCAAAATGTGTCTATCTTAAATTATCTAGATTCTACCTCTGGATAAAGTTAGACTCTAGAAAGTCTTTATAATCATTTTCTCCTTTAAGGCAGGTGTTGACAAATTTTTTGTAAAGATAACATTTTTGACATTGTAGGCTATCCAGTCTCTGTTGTAACTACTCAACCCCACCACTGCAGCTGGAAAATAGGTGTGGATAATATATCAACAAATATGACTGTACCTCAGTAAGACTTTGTTTGCAAAAAAAATTGGAGTACTGGATTTGGCCACAAAATAAAATCCAAGTGTTTGGCTAAAAAATYATCATACCTCCCATTCTAAAAAACATAATTTTAAGACACATGTATTGGTATATTTACCAAAGGAGTGTTGAACACTGTGTACCTAGAGACAGACCCAAAAATAGCCTTTTTTTTTCTTTTTGTCTCACACAGCAAGAAATATTTTCTTCCCATAGGAAATTGATCTGCTTTAGTGAAATGCAAATCATGAAATCATATAACTTATGATGTCTATTTCTGTAAGAAGGGACAGAAAAATTGATATGAATTTAGAAAAACAGTTTTGAGCCAGGTTTCTACATATTACTCAGCAGCTCTTTCTAGGTCTTGATCTTTATTATTCCTACCTTTACCCTAAGCTAAATTTTAAATACTTGTGCTTTTCCATTTGACTGTGTAGAAAACCAAGGTGGTAAATGTTTAAAAAGCAACTTACCTGGGACTTCATTTTCTGCTGTCTTCCACAAGAGCAGATGCCTGAAAAAACAAAACTGGTGATCAGAGTCAAAATTTCACAGTCCAAATCCAGAATGTAGCACCGCATTCAGCATTCTAGAAACCACCACCATGAAAAGTAAGGTGGGTAATGGTCCACCTTGTGGGAGAAGGTTGAAGGTTATTTGAACCTTACAGAACTATCAGCAAACACCATTTGGAGAAGGTATTAACCATTAACTTTTATTTGTTTTGTGACTTTAATATGATCAGAAAAAACTCAAGACACTTTTTTTTTCTTTTTAAAACTTCATTTCATGTAAGGATATGTGTTCAGTTGATTTACTAAGAGTATATTGTTCCTCCTGGAAACCAGCAATTCTACTTAATAATCATGGGTAGTTATTTCCTAAGGGTTCAGATATTTTTCCCAAACCTAGCAAACCCTCTTGCCAAATCAATATTGATGAACTAAAATGTTAATTTTAAGATATTTTCTGCTGAAATTTTTATTGCTGATTTTCAACAGTGTGTACAAAAATGGTAATAAGTTGGATCCACCGATAAAAGGAAATATTCCACAATGCAGGATGGTACAAACCTGGTAAATAAGTATCAGTCCCAGGAAGAGTCATGAGTACAGGGCTAAACTGGTTCAGAGCAAGTGGAGCTTCTATGAGAGGGAGACTATTTTATATAGGGTATCMCAGGCTTTATTAAAACAGACCTGGAAGGAAACAAGACAGCTATTCATATCCTGAAACTCAATGTCTCTTGAGTAAAATATAAGATGATTTCAATGAAAGAGGGGAGCTGAAATTACACTTTTCATAATAATCCTCTCTCTTCAGGTTTCTTTGGTTTCGCTAAATGACCATTTCTGAGGAAAGGCATGAGATTATGGGGGACAATGGGAGACTGAGAAGAGGTGACCAGAGCTTGACTTCTACTCAACAGCTGCCTATGATTGGAAATTTAATGTAAAGGAGAGCCTTTCTTAGTAAATAGCGGCTACTAGGTCGCCCTGACTCTATCATTGTTTCTTCCAAATTTCTGAACCCCTAGCAATCACATGCTCCATATTGACTCCCCCATCCTTTAGTCCATAGCCCCCCACCAAACAGATTCCTCAGAGCGATCTAAGTCATTGTACCCTGTTAGCCCTCCTTCACATCATTCCTGACCCCACAGACACCCCGTCATTCCCCAATTGTTAATCAAACAGCTCATCCATCCCTGACTCAGAAATGAACCCGACACTAACCATACGCACCTCCCACCCCGTGATTTCATAAACCTCCCATCACAGACCCGGACTGACGCGTCCCTTCCCATTATCAATCCCACCGACTCACTCATCACTGGACACGTTCCTCTTCTGACCCCCAGCTCGATTATCAGGTCCCGAAACGCTCATCACGGCTTAACCGGGATGGCTGTCACATCCAAAGTAGCAACTCTCCCGCATCCTGTCGGTGAGCACCTAGCCGGGCTSCGGAGCCTGCGCCTTTCCGTACCAGGCGGCTTTGTTCAGCAAGCAATATGGCTGCTCCCAATTGCTCTTTGGCAGGGAGCCGCCATCATGAAAGTCAGATAGGTTCCGTACAAACACCGGATTGGCCTGGAACTGGGCTGTACCACCACGCTAGAGAAGGGGGGGAAGAGGGTGAAGAAGACTACCATAAGAACAAATGAACTGCGCATTTGTGCAGAGAGATTTTAAGCGGACACTAGGAAGGAGTTTGATTCTTTTGTTGAAAGAGGAATAATTTGGAACGGTAAAATATTTTCTTTAGCGCATCTACACATACGTGTTTGGTGAAGTCCTCTCCCGGGTGATACCACATTTGGGACCAAAATCTGGGTGGAGAAGGGATAAATAGTCTCATCAAGACTTTAGTTATTCTAATACTAATGATAGGGAATTGTTCTAGGGGAAATTGCAAGTGCAATTTATAGTTATATATTTATTTATCATAATAATAAAATTTGGGGGGCAGAATGAAGGAGAAAGAGGATACTTGAGAGAGTTAGGGAAAAAGAGGCTGAAAAACTAGGACAAGGAGAAGCAGAGAATTTGACTAACCAGCAAAGGAGAGGGAGGCTAAGAACAGATTGGCAATGGGGGGGGGGGGGAGAAGGGAGAGGAGAGAGGAGGGGGGAGGAGAGAGAAGAGAGAGGAGAGAGATATGCAGGGCAAAAAGAAATAAAAGGTGTAGGAGATAGATAGGTGTAGGAACAGAAATGGGAAGCTAAGGGAACAAACTGCAGGAGACTGGGAGAGAGATTGCGATTCAAAATAGACACTACAAAATAGGGAAAGAAAATGAAGGGAAGTATTGTTGAGAATTTTAACAAAATTTTTAGAAAATGTGATTTAAAAAAGAAGAAATGAAACACTTGATGCAAAAAGAAAATACTAAAATTGTTATATTCACCGTTAGTCCTTACATAGAGCATTTATACGTTTTAGAGATTCACTGTTAGGGGACAGATAGGTGAGGACGGTGGGAACATGAGATTAAAAGAATAATTTCATAAAATGGGCCTGCTATGCTGACCCCTGCATGCTTTCTTTTCTAAGAAGCAATCAACCTGCAGCCCTGCCTGGTGTAAATGGACAGTCTATGTCACATTCCTCAGCAAGCTACCTGTTATCTGTAGGAGAAATGCAGGACCCAAATAATGTTGATATTAGRACCCCAAGTAACCCTGAAGGGAGAGACTTTTGGGACTCTTTCATAGACCAGATCCTGAAACTCAGGGAGTTGAGGATAATCCTTTCAACCATAAAGCTTGTGAGACTTTGTTTAAGAATCAGAACCAATCAGCATGAGCCAAGGTGACCTAGAGTTGTCATGGCAGCAGGTATTTGAAATTCTGATGTCATCCTGCTTTGAGTCAAAAGTTGAAAGGTGGACCTGGGCAGGACTCAGGAAAATTATCCTGGATTCCCAAWAAAACTGGAGTGCAGGCGAGGCAAGGTGACTTTCCTTTCTGAGAGGATCCAATCTTTTCCTTGAAAGTGTTCCCTTTTCCTATCCATTCAATAAAGTCACTGTCTGGTATTTTGAGCAAAATGTCTAAAATATTTCTGAATTGATGGCAAGAATCAGGGTTTGAAGTGGGGGAGGGGTCTTTGCTCTTCCTCAGTTTCCCTGAAGGCTTGAGCCCTGTAACAACTTGAATAGACATGTTTTCTAGCTTTCATATGGGCCACGATTTTTGGTATGTAATTAAATAAGGAGSAAGTTTACATTTAGCAATTGTATTTCTCATGTCCAATAAAAAATCTGAACTTAGATAAGAAAGACTTTATTTAGAACGACATGGAATAGGAAGAATGCTCCAATTTCAAAATTCTGAAAGCATCTCAATATCAAACAAAAATGCTTTTTTATGGGGATGAGTAAGAAGAGTTAGCAGGAACTTTGTGGGGGAGGAGGAAAAGGTGGAGGTGTGCAGGTGGCAAAACCAGGGCATTTCAGTGGGAATGGTTGTTATGGTTGTGGGATTCTGAGCATAAGCAGTTAAGGGGAGGCAGGATGTTCAGCAGTCTAATGCTTTGGTGTGTCTTAAAATTCTCATGTGAGCCAAAGCTAGAGAGAGAAGAAGAAGCTAGAGGAGAGAAGCCTGACTAAAATTTGGTCACGATGGAGAAGAAGATAAGAAATGTCTGATTGTGAGCATGTGATCACTCACTTCGATTTAAACTTCCATAGTTCTATTGATAGTTACTGATTGCTTTTTGTTTAAGGCAATATATATTTGGGAGCACTTCTGTCCAGCTGGATCTTTTCAAAGGATGAGCCCATCTGAGTCTCTGTGACAGGTTTGCCAAACTTTGTTCCACTGGCTGAATCTCAGTCCCAAACTGTCCCAGTTATATACTGAGAACAGTTCTGTTTATCAAAGGAGCCGAAGAGAGCACAACTGGCAATTCCCCTGAAGGCTGAGATCAGAGTTGACTTCAATTCCATTGTGGATTTTGAAACAGCCTCTAAATTACCTCTGGTTCTTCTCAACTGAAGTTTCAGAGCAGGCTTGTTCACCCAGGAACCCACCTAGAGGCAAACCTATCTCATGTCCCTGAATGAATACAGGACTGAAGATTTAATTTTCTGTCATGAACACTGAAAAAACCCTGAGTCTTAGTTTTAGACCCCTTTAAGTCACAGACAGGCAGTATGGCCAGTCCAAGGACCTACCCAGAGACCCAGAGGAAGCCTCCCTATCAACGCATCTGGTAACAGACCTGCCAAAATCTGAACTGTGGAGCCTCATCCCAGAACCAGTCCCACAGATTAAGGTCTCGGAGATAGTTTAGTACATCCCCAAACCACACAGAATCCATGCCCGCAAGAGACCCCTAGTAATTATGCTGTACACTCAACATCAGCACCAACTGCAAACCCTGGGTATAACCCCATCAATTGTAATCCTGAAGATAATTCTAACAGGACATGACTTCAACTAGCCAAAATCAGTCTGTAAAGACCAAAAGAGGGGTTTGCTCCTTCAAATGCACATATATCAATGCAAAGCTATACAGAAAACAAAGTATCAAATAAATATTATACTACCAAAGGAAAGTAAGAGATCTCCAATGTATTATACCAAAGAAATGAAAATATATAAGTTGCCTGAAAAAGTGTTCAAAATGATCATCTTAAGCATAATGATTCGTAAGAAAATAGAGATAACTAAAGGAAATTAGCAAAAAAAATATGAATAAAAGGAATTTAGTAAGCAAAATAGAAACTATAAAACAAACCAAACAGAAATCCTGGAGCTGAAGAAATCAATGATGGAATTTAAAAACTCAATAAAGAGCTTCAACAGCATACTTAATCAGGCTGAAAGAAAGAATTAGTGACTTAAAATCAGGACATACGAAATTAGCCACTTAGAGGAATAAAGAGAAAAAATGTCAAAAAAGGTGAAAAAAGCATAAGAAACTATTATATTTTAGATATGACATGTCCCCTAAAAGATTATATGAGACAATATAAGAATGTTCAGAAGTTAAATGGTTGGGTTATGAGAACCTYAACCTAATTAATACATTAATCAACTGATAGGGGTTAACTGGGTGGTAACTGTAGGTAATTAGGGTGTGGCTGGAGGAGGTGGTTCACTGGAGGCATGCTTTTGGAGCTTACATTTTGTCCTTGCTTAGTGGAGCTCTCTGGTTCCTAATTGCCATGTCCTGAGCTGCTTTCCTCTGTCACATTCTTCTGCCATAATGTTCTGTTTCACCTTGGGCCCAGAGCTATGGAGTTGGCCATCTATGGTTGAGACCTCTGAAACCATGAGCCAAATAAAGTTTTCTATCTCCAATTGTTCTTGTTTGGTCTTTTGGTCACAGTGATGAAAAGGTTGACTAAAACAGGGACTTATGGGAAAACATACACTGTATGGATGGATGAACTATGGGAGTACCAGAGATAAGAAAGTATAGAAAGCTTACTTTATGAAATAGTGTCTGAAAATTGTCCAAATCTTGGGAGGGATATAGATATTTAAATCCAAGAATATTAAAAGGACTTAAAGAAGGATTAATTAAAAAACAGAACCCCAACAATGAAAAACATTTAATTGAATTATCAAAGTGAGAGACAAAAAGAGACTCTTAAAAGCAGTGAGAGATAAAAAATTTATTATACACAAAGGATATAATATATATATATATATATATATATATATTCAATATATCAATATATATTGATATATTGAATATATATTATCAACAGAAACCTTGAAATCAAGAGGGAGATAACATATTCAAGTGCTAAAAACAAATCTGTCAACAAAGAATACTATACCCAGCAAAGCTATCATTTTTTTAAAAAAGGTGTTACAAAGACATTCCAAGAAAAATAAAAGCTGAGCAAGTTTATCACAAGAACAGGTTTATAAGAAATGCTTAAAGGAATTCAAGTTAAAACAAAATGGCTGAGGCTGGCTGTATCTCAGTAGCAGAGTGTGTGCCTAGATCCATGAGGCACTGGGGTCCATCTCAGTACCAATAAAAATAAATAAAATAAAGACATTCTGTCCATCTACAAGTATAAAAAAATTTTTAAAAAAGATTTGAAAAAATTATCAATAAAACATATGGATGTATAAAGCTTACTTTAAGGAATAATAATAAAGAGGAGACAAAGACAAGATACAGAGGCAGGGAACGTGGCAGAGTGGCTCATTGTTCAAGTGGCCACCTTTATTTATACCAATAAGTTACATTAGGTCATTAGTAACATAACTACATTATTGTTGAGAGTATCAGTAAGGTTGCTTATTGTGCAGGTACATTTTAGAGTATGTAATGTTAGTGTAAAGGTCAGGCGAGCGTCGGAGGAAGAGACCACCAAGAGACTGTCTCATGCAACAGCAAAGGGTTTATTGGGGTCCAGCATGCTGGGGCTCAGAGCTCACTTGAATAGAGCAAAGAGCCCTGAGAACAG